TTTACCCTGGAGTTTTTACTTGTTGAATATCGTCTTGCATTTAGAAATATGTCAGATTACAGAAGTACAGTACGTAAAATGGGTTACAGATTCTCCCTTCAAAAAATATTTATAATATAGCCACAGAATTTATAAAATGTCTTTGGTTTGGCCCATTTAAGAGAGTGCCATGCAAAACTGAATCCTCAAATATCATGCATTATACTTTATTCTCTCCAACACTGAAATGATACAAATACAGACCATTCTGAGCAATTCAAAAGAGCGATTTTGAAGCAAAATATACTTTGCAGAGAAGCACTATTTGTACCTTCAAGACATTCACCCACTGCAGATATTTTCTGTGAATACACACCAGCTATTCTCATTTCAAAACTCGAGTTTGCTAAAGCTGTTCTGTACAGGGATATACTCTGTACTTGACTGGTAATTCAGGATGACAGCTCTCTACAGAATCTCTCGGTTTCAGCAAGTTTTCAGTTATGTCAGCTAATCATTTGCATGGATGCCTTAGTGGGTAGTTTCAATTCAGTCACCTCTGAGTCACTTTTCATAGGTTAATCCAACCCAAAAATTAAAACCCCAAATCAACTGTTCTAAAATCAATGGATTCCTCTCATTTTCCTACCAGAAGTAAATTTCAGAGCAGTAGTAAGCCTACAGTCCTTATGGGCATGCTTTGCTCAAGCACATAAAGTTGTACAATTCTGCCTCGTACTAACCTATTGATTATGCTAAAGCTGAATGGTGGGCTCCAGTGTCATACGAGTTCGGATCATTGTTTCATTTAGTCAGAAATTACAGTGCGAAATTCCTCTCATTTTCCTACCAGAAGTAAATTTCAGAGCAGTAGTAAGCCTACAGTCCTTATGGGCATGCTTTGCTCAAGCACATAAAGTTGTACAATTCTGCCTCGTACTAACCTATTGATTATGCTAAAGCTGAATGGTGGGCTCCAGTGTCATACGAGTTCGGATCATTGTTTCATTTAGTCGGAATTACAGTGCGACTGAAGTGAGTCACACTGAAATGTCAATCAGTCTGTGATATATATGTATGTTCTGACCTCACAACATGCAGCTAAATTTAAAATCAACCAATGCCGTTTACAGTGCATTTTACTTTCAAAAACAAGATGTTTTGAGAACTAAAAGTAGGGCTGAACTTGGATTCATCAAAAATGAATTGAAACTGAAAAGTGGGTGTTCTATAACAGATGAAGTCAGACTGAAAGCGAGTTTGCAGTTGATTGCAGTCTTTTTTACCAAAAGATGTATCTGAAAAGGGTATAATGTACTGATAACCACCATAATAATACATAATAAAAGAGACACATGATAAATACAGTATGTTAGTACAAAATAAATGTTATTACTTTATATAGAATATTAACACTTTATCAGTAAAACATACCTTTTTTATTGTATATTTGAGTTCAGTTCTGTATAACCTAACTGTTGCTACTATATTTTTAACATAAACATCAAAAAGGTATTATGTACATTTACATTTACATTTACATTTAGACATTTAGCAGACGCTTTTATCCAAAGCGACTTACAATTGGGGGATACATAAAGCGATTCTTCTTAAAAGGGGCAAACAGATACAGGAAGTGCTTGTAATACCAAGTTTTTAGACATTGTTCAAATAAGTACACGCTAGAAAGAGAAGGAATAGATAAAGAGAGAGAATTTTTTATTTTTTTATTTTTTTTTTTTATGATGAAGTCAAGTAGCTTCGAAAGAGATGAGTTTTCAGCTGTCGCTTGAAAATGGTCAGGGATTCAGCATTCCGGATAGGGGTGGGGAGATCGTTCCACCAGCCAGGAACGGTGAACGAGAATGTTCTGGAAAGTGATTTTGAGCCTCTCTGTGATGGTACCACGAGGCGTCGCTCACTAGCGGATCTCAGACTTCTGGAGGGGATGTAGATTCGTAGTAGGGAGTGGAAGTAGGCGGGTGCTGAGCCTGTGGCTGTTCTATATGCAAGCATCAATGTCTTGAACTTGATTCGAGCCGCAACCGGTAGCCAGTGCAAGGAGATAAAGAGAGGTGTAACGTGGGCTCTTTTGGGCTCGTTGAAGACCAGTCGTACCGCTGCATTCTGAATCATTTGTAGAGGTTTGATTGTGCTTGATGGAATGCACAATGGAATGATGTAGCCAGATGAATTATACACTATTAGACCAGCAATGTGCAATCTTAATTTAGTACAGTAAAACACTCTTGTCAGTTTAGTACAGTAAAACAATCTTGTTTTTGTGGCTTTAACTTTCTTACTGTCAAGTTATTAGCAGCTTTCGCTAAGATTCTTGCAGGCACTAACCATAAAACTGGGTCTCTCATGAATGCTTGACAAAAAGCAGATGACTATGTGCTCAGTAACCCTCTCCAGAGTAAAGACAAGCTTGGTCCTCCTAACTCTCATGTACGTATGATGTGAACGAACAGCCCAGGCTGATGAAAGGCAAGTGAATCGTCAGAACTGAAGGCTGAAGTCTTTAAACGTCTCTGCTGTCAGAGCGACCCAGTCCTCATTAAAATCAATTGCTAGAGAGCAGTAAATGCGAGACCATGTGTCATGCAGGTTGAACGCAGACCTCATGGACTGGTGGAATGGCAGTGTGCCGCCCTCAACTGCTGATTCAGGGAGAACAAAACTCCTGGACTGAAAACAGAACCCTTCATGCATTTACATGCCGTTCTGTCTCCTAGCACAAACTGACGTGACATGAATACATATTGCATGAAGTTGGATAACTTTTCTGTTCTGCTATGTCAGCCTACAGTAACTCAAACACAAAGGTGGCAGAGGGACAAAAAGTATGGTCTTGAATGTGGCTAGATTTGTACTATTATTTGAGCTCAGCACTACTGACCACAAAATATTGGTGATATCTATAGACATCATTGGAAACAAAACTGTTTCACAGCCTGACACAACAGGCGAACCCTTTAAAGTTACTAATTTTTTCTCTTTGCTACTTCATTAGAACGTCACCTATAGTATATATATATATATATATATATATATATATAACTTAACCATAAACTTAACGGATAATGTCCTGTTAGGAAATTACCAGTACATTTTCTGTTTCTTCTTTGGATTTTTTTCTTACACTGTAGAGCATGACATTAGCAATGATATATAATATAGCATAAATGGAATTTAAGTTGCTTCAGATAAATGTAGTGGAAAAATCTATTTTAAAATCAAACCTTTTACAGTATCATCAGATCGTAATACATTTGGCAGACACTTTTATCCACAGTTTCTGCAGGTTTTAAAAAGGCATGTCTTGTATAAGCAATGCTTCAAGGTTTGAAAATATAACTCCCAACAGATCTCCATTACTTTTTAATTCATTTTACAAAAAGAAAAAGAAAGAAAGAAAGAAAGAAAGAAAGAAAAAGAAAAAGAAAAAAAATCCTTCAATAGCTCTGCTCCCAAACATACGGAAATAACAATTACTGTACTTCTGATCACACTGCAAAAAAGTGCAAATGTCTAAAGATTCTTAAATCAAGATACATTTACTTGAGAAGCAAAATGGCATAAAATAAGCCTTGGTTTATGAGAAATTTTGGGACTGCATTATGTTCTGCAACATCTAGACAGACCAGGGACTTATGTGAGGATCCTGTTCGTGGACTTCAGCTCGGCCTTTAACACCATCATCCCAAACCTCCTCCTGCCTAAACTAACTCAGCTCTCCGTGCCCACCTCCATCTGTCAGTGGATCAACAGCTTCCTGACAGACAGGCAGCAGCTAGTGAGGCTGGGAAAATATGATTGTATGATTAAATACAAGTGAATGTATGATTAAAACAAGAACAAATGTCTGCCAGTGGGCTCAGAAAAATCTACTTAATTCAAAGGGAAAGCAAGTTTTCATACCCCATTGACAAAAGTTTGTTCTTGTTCTAAACATGAACACAGTTCATTTTGTTCAATTTTATGTCTACATGATCTCAAATTTGTTCAAAACAAGACTTCATATGTTTAATTTGCATCTCAAGTATCTTGATGTATCAAGTTTAATGTATCTTGATTCAAGGATGTTTAGATTGTTGTATTGGAAAACTAAAAAAAAATAAGGCTGTAGCGAATCATGGCGCAAACTTAGGGTGTCCTTAGGAGCGTTCTAGCTCACATCTCCTCAGAATCTAACAGAACCACAGACTGGAGGCGGGTCACTGATCTGAGGCCTTTAATTGTTAAATCTAATGAAAAATGGTGTGTCTGATTGGTCCAGACGCTACAAGGCGCTAGATATTCAGGTTTTTTGTGCAGTGCATGCAATATTTAATGCCATGAATTTATGAATATAAGACTTCCTGCTCTGATTTAAGACCTTTTTTTGTGTTCCTCTCAGTATAAAATTAATGCATTATTTCCCTTGATTTAATGACATATTGAGTGTCTGTTCACACACAGCTGATTTAGGGGCACCACATTAGCTGGCTGCTCACGAAGGGTTATTGTATGTGTGATTTTAAGCACTTGTCTTTTGCTAAATTCTAATTTCTCCCTTATTAACAAAAGTAAGCCTGGCACAACCTAAAATTGTGTTGCATTAATACGGTTGAACCAACAGTGGAGAGATACACAACGTCTCAGACAGTCACACTGCGGAGTGCTAACAAGCGATCTGATGACTGATGAATGTGCGCAGTGGATGCAATCAGAAATTATTGCTTTGTCAAAATCCTGTATTCTCATGGCCCTAATGGAGTCCTTCTGTTATAACAATGTGACCCATTGTCCTTTTCTTGGCGGCTGTCCTACTTGTCTTGCCGACAAAGAGAGTAGTCGACATATTTATAAAAGAAACTGGATGACAGTGAGAACTAATTTATCCGCTTTTCAGTTCACCTTGTGTTAGAGGTTATCCTCCAAATGTGTTTGGAGTCCCTTTTTGTGACCAGTATGTAGTCCATGGACTCTGTTGAGTGAGATTCTGTTCCTGAGTCTCAAATTTTTTTCTCTCAAAGGGGCGACCAAAGACATGGGGAAAATGCTGGGGGGCGAGGAGGAGAAGGACCCTGATGCCGACAGAAAGGAGGAAGAAAGACAGGAAGCCCTCAGGCAACAAGAGGAGGAGAGGAAAGCAAAGTATGCAAAAATGGAAGCAGAGAGGGAATCGGTTCGACAGGGCATCAGGGACAAGGTAAATGTACCGTGAAATAATTATTCACTGTTATGACATGTCAAAATGTTTATATGATCACTTACGATAATCTAGGCCAGGGTGATTATCATTAACATTAACTGAAATAACATAAAAAGAAAACTTAAACTTATTTGATTTCAGCTAGTTGCCAAGGCAGCCTTTCTCATTTTCATTTAAAATAACTAAAACTAAACTATAACTAATAAATAAAAAAGATTATATAATATTATATTACAGTATATTATATTATTATAATAAATTCTATATAAAATCTAATTCAAAACATTAACAAAAACAATAATAATACATCAATGATAGTAAAATAATACCAATGTTTTTAATAACAATTTTGTACAATGACCACAGACCACATAAATACATAAAGTGAAGGTTATTTAAGGGTTTTTTTCTTCGTTTGTTTCACTCTTGGGGAGGCTGAATGCTGCTTTGTAGCAGTTGAGTGGTATGCTGTGTATGGGGATGGACGGGCCCTGAGGCACATGCTGTGAACCAGAGGGACTGGAAAAATAACAGTCTAGCTCTGGCAAGCATTCCATTACTGTGGAGGCTGTGGAGATTGACTATGCTTCACTCCCTGCACTCATACTACCATATGGCTGCTTTTCTGTGTGACAATATAAAAAAAATAAGAAAAATAAAAAATTGGAAAATGGTGTCATGGAAGGAAGGACCCAGGGATAATGAAATCGGAAATATTATTCAAATAATAGACAGTGGTATTTAACAACTTCATTACATTATGTACATTACAATAAACAGTATTACATTGATCCATGCTATAATAGTTGATGTATAGAATTGCCATGACTCTTTGATTAATTTGCTTTCACTTATATTCATATAGAAATGTAAATGAACTACTGTTTATTAATTCACACACACACACATAATATCTACAGTATATAATGTCTATAACAATAAATAAAAATGTTAAAAAAACTTAAAATCTAATCAATATATATACCAATATATAATATATATATATATATATATATATATATATATATATATATATATATGTGTGTGTGTATATATTATATTTGAGTAAAATAAATTCTCTCTCTCTCTCTCTCTAAAGAAAACCTAAAAATTATTCTTCAATAATATACAGGTCAAAAACTGTGATTGTTAAATGACATCAAGAACATTTGGTTAATTCGATGTATTAAAGACAGCTGAAAATGATTATTCTGCTTAACAGACTTGCCACTTACGAATTTATCATGATAATTTACCTTGGGCCGCTGAGTCTCAGAGATTGTACGCATGGCTGCACAAAATGGAGGATGATCTCCTCTTGTGAGCAAACGGAGTTGGAGTAAAACAGCTACATTTGTATGCAAATCCATGTTGAAAGGAGAGGTCTTTTTTCCAATAAGCCATCACCCCATGGGTCTAATTTACCACAAGGATTAAGGCAGCATCTCCACATTCTGTACAAAACGTGATTGCAATACTGAGGGGTAGTCCTTATGTCTTATCCATGATGGCTGAACTTCAGGGTTTGCCAAGCACTCTCTTCAAGTAACCCATTTAAGTATTTCTAAGATTAAGCTGCATTAATAAGATTTCATGCGTACATAAGTGATGGAATCCACATATAGCAAGTAGATAGATGGTTTGAGAAAAGCAGAAAATCATTGTTTAGAATAGTGGTTCTCAATTCCAGTCCTTGCAACCCCCCACATTTTGTTTGCATCTCTTATCACTCCAGACATTTGTTGTATTCGACCGTATCCACCTTATTCCTGATGAGCCTACTGCATTTTGAATTATGGGTGGCACATCCGGTTTGGGGAACTTCCAATCAAAAAGACTGAAACTAATCATTTCAAATCATAAGGCTGCCCTACAAATAAAGCTTATCCATCTGTTTGACTGAATGAGCTGTCAATTTTCCTTCATGTTTTATTTTCAGACATCATGAAAATAACGTAACAATTGGTATTTTAATGTGATATGTTATAACAAGAATATCTATGGCAAGAGCTCTTTTCAGTCGCTGCATTCTTTTCCTCATGATTATTTTCTTTTTACCCTTTGAATTCCGCTGTAATAGTATGAAAAAGGACAACATATACTGCACATTTGTGATCTGTTCTCCCGATTTAATTTACGATATATCCCATTAACAATTCACTGGAATGCATGAAGAATCTCTTGTTTTTCTCTTCAAATCCTCACGTCACTTTCCAGGGTTTTTTTTGTTTTCATAAGTAAATATAATTTTTTTATCTGTCAAAATGATGTAAATCACTTTGAAATAGTATCACGCAATTCTGAAGTTAATGAACGTTTTTGATTAAGGCAACGTAAACCGATCAGGCATAACATTATGACCACCTTCCTAATATTGTGTTGGTCTCCCTTTGGCTGCCAAAACAGCCCTGACCCGTCAAGGTATGGACTCCACTAGACCCCTGAAGGTGTGCTGTGGTATCTGGCACCAATATGTCAGCAGCAGATCCTTTAAGTCCTGTAAGTTGCGAGGTGGGGCCTCCATAGATCGGACTTGTTTGTTCAGCACATCCCACAGATGCTCGACTGACTTGAGATCTGGGGAATTTGGAAGCCAAATCAACACCTCAATGTCGTTGTTGTGCTCTTCAACCCATTCCTGAACCATTTTTGCTTTGTGGCAGGGCGCATTATCCTGCTGAAAGAGGCCACATCCACCAGGGAATACCGTTCCATGAAAGGGTGTACATAGTCTGCAACAATGCTTAGGTATGTGGTACGTGTCAAAGTAACATCCACATGGATGGCAGGACCCTAGGTTTCCCAGCAGAACATTGTCCAAAGCATCACACTGCCTCCGCCGGCTTGCCTTCTTCTCATAGTGCATCCTGGTGCCATGTGTTCCCCAGGTACGCATCAAACTGCGATGCACTTTGTATTCTGACACCTTTCCATCCGAACCAGCATTAACTTCTTCAGCAATTTGAGCTACAGTAGCTCGTCTGTTGGATTGGAACACATGGGCCAGCCTTCGCTCCGCATGTGCATCAGTGAGCCTTGGCCACCCATGACCCTGTCGCCAGTTCATCACTGTTCCTTCCATGGACCACTTTTGATAGATACTGACCACTGCAGACCGGGAACACCCCACAAGAGCTGCAGCTTTGGAGATGCTCTGACCCAGTCGTCTAGCCATCACAACTTGGCCCTTGTCAAACTCGCTCAAATCCTTACACTTGCCCATTTTTTCCTGCTTCTAACACATCAACTTCAGGACAAAATGTTCACTTGCTGCCTAATATATCCCACCCACTAACAGGTGCCGTGATGAAGAGATAATCAGTGTTATTCACTTTAACTGTCAGTGGTCATAATATTATATCTGATCGGTGTATGTTACATAATACAGATACTGTATATATTACTACAGTGATATTTCACCCGTCTGTTATTGCTGTGGAAAGAATCACGCTTTTGGGATGATTCATGGTCTGTTGAAAGTACCTTGTTTATGCTTTTACACTTTTAAATGTCATTTTAATGTTTGATGGTTGAAGGGCGAGTAGAATAATGTCATCTCGTACCCAGTTAAAAAAAAAACATATTATTGCTTTCATTGAGCGAGCCTTTCACTGATTGTTTACAGCTTAACGTAAGTTACACTCATAATTCGCACAAAGCGTGGGTAGTAAGGTGGATGGATAGTGCACTGGGAAGTGGACTTCACAGGATATTCCACCATGATTCCAGTTCGAAGGGAGCGTATATGTTCCCTTCAAAGGGCATTAACGTGTGCGAGACGTGAATTTAAATTGTATTTATTTACAAATTTAAATTTGTATTTATTTACAGAGGTATATTATGTCACACTTCACACTTCTCTAGTAAGTTTGCCTGTGTGTGAAGACTCTGCAGGCAGTGGCGTAAATCCGTGAATGAATGTTCCGATGTGAAGTAAACTTCAACGGATTTCCCGTGTGCAGGTAGTAGACAGCAGTGAACACTGTGTAGGGATCCTGTCAGTCAGAACACAGTTCATGCATGGAGCTCTCTTCTAACAAGCTGGTTATCTGAATCAGGTGTGTTACACAAGAGAGATGCAAAATATGCAGAGGGGGGTGGGGGGCACCAGGACTGGAATTGAGAACCACTGGTTTGGAAGGTCAGCTGCTGATTGCATGAGCTAGTTTGTGACCTCAGTATACAGAGGTAGAAATCATCTATTGTTTAATCCATTTATTGGCAAGACATCACAATGAGAGTCCTGAGAGTCCTAAGGGGGTAATGCCTTGCCCTAAACATCATTACTTCATATAAATCTCCCTTCATCCCATTACAAAACATCCTCATTCCTCAGGATGTGATAGTGATTACCCAAGTGATACAGTAAACAGAACCCATCATCTATTTGCAGACTGTATGAGTTAAAACAAGAAATATATACAGTATATACATGACAATGTATACAATCGTTCAAAAGTTTAAGGTCAGTAAGATTTTTCTTTTTTTTAAAGAAATTTATATATTTGTTCAACAAGGATGCATTAAATTGATCAAAATTATATTTCAAACAAATGCTGTTCTTTTGAACTTTTCATTAATCAAAGAAACAATCCTAAAAAAGTATCACAGTTTCCACAAAAAATATTAAGAAGCACAACAATTGTTTTTAATATTGATATACAAAATGCGTGTTGAGCACCAAATGAGCAGTGTAGAATGATTTCGGAAGGATCATATGACAATAAAGACTGGAGTAATGGCTGCTGAAAAATTCAGCTTTGCATCACAGGAATAAAATTACATTTTAAAATATTTTAAATTGTAATAATATTTCATAATGTTACTGTTTTACTGTATTTTGATCAAATAAATATAGCCTTGGTGAGTAAAAGAGACTGCTTTCAAAAACATTACAAAAATCTAACCAACCTTTTATATATCAACAGCATGAGCACAATTTAAATGTAAAATTACTTCAGAAATGTATGGTCTTTCTAATGTAGCCAAAAGGGTAAAACAGAATAGGCACGAATTAACAAGCCTCAGAATCTTTGGGGGTGAAAGAAGGATGAAATGGACCATTTGTCATCTAAGTACTTGCCAATATTTGGCACACCATTTAAAATTAGGGCATTTGTTTGTAAATGAGAAAGTGTCTCAGATCTAAATGAAGCTTCTGGAATCACTAAGCTAACTGTCAGGTCCACATGATTACACTGACTTGCCAAGTGGCAGTCCCCCAAGGTTTTATTGACATAGTCAACACCATTCCAATTTAAAGCCAAAATTCTCCAATGCTCAAACATTTGTATGCTAATTAAGAGGAAACAGTCCTGCAAGTGATTCATCTAGCAAACTGCCTGTCCTTTCCAGCCACCAAAGTATCCATACATTTTCAGTTTTATAGACATTTGGACACCCAGACAATATCACGGTGGCACACTGGGGTCTACACTGAAGGGGAAAAAACTTAATATAGAAACAATTTTCATTTGGAATTTGCTAGTAAATTTCACAAACAATTGCAAGTAGCACCATATTAAGTAATGCCATATTAATCTATAAGCTCTAATCTAACAGTAATAGCAATAGCCTATATCCAACTAAAATGCAAAGTTAAATTTTTGCTTTTATAAAAAATATACAGCAGAAAACAGCAATTTTGCATGAGGTAAAAAAAAACTACACTGTAAAAAAAATATATATATATTGAAGTTTTAAGTAAAATAAAGATTATTTTTCAATTTTTTTCCCCTCATTTTTTTTCCATTATAGTTTAAACAAGTTCACATGCAAGCAGGGTTATTTTAGTATCATGGAGATACTATTATAGTTTATAGTATATTTTTAAAATATATTTAATTTCAGTTAACAACATTTTTTTATAGTTTTAATTTTAGTAAACTGCATGCAAGTCTTTGCAGAGGAAATACAACAATGGTCATAGAAATGTGCTTGTGAATACACCTAACATGCCGCCATGTGTTTTTCAGTATGGTATAAAGAAGAAGGAAGAGAAGGAGGCAGAAGCCCAGGCAGCCATGGAGCAGGCGTCAGAAGGCAGTCTGACCCGTCCCAAGAAAGCCATCCCCGCCGGCTGCGGCGACGAAGAAGAGGAGGAGGAAAGCATCGTGGACACCGTCATGAAGTTTCTCCCAGGCCCGCTTCAAGATATGTTCAATAAAAAGTAACAGCGTTACTTACGACAAGTAGTGATAAAACGGGAATCATTAATGTCATGAAATCCACCTCCTCTTTCCCCGTTCCCTCTCTCGCATTTGTTCTAAGATCTCTGGACTCAAAACATGTGCCATAACATCTGTCTTTAACTGCGATACATATGTGACATTTTATGATTAAAAGAATGACAAAAATACAATGTGTGCACTAGAAATGTTACATTGCATACATCTGTCTCTGTTTAAAGACTAATTTAATGCCCCCTGAGTCCAGACCTTGGAGCAAGAACATTCCCCATGCTTCATTAATTTTGTTTGTAAATATCAAATAAAAAATAACTATATATATATATATATATATAAACAATGACTATGAGTAAAAGCCATAAATTTATCTTGGAGAGATTTCTCCAGTCATATCATATTTTTGATTGTTGCTCTGTTATAGATATTACTGATGAACCCATGTGGTATACTTAGACATATATGCTGTATACAGATTAATTTGTCATCCATACTTCAGAATAGTAAACAGTTCCTGCTGCCATCATGAATTATCACATCATATCTGATTAATATGACTGAAAACTAATATGGAAGAGAACGTAGGATATCACACATGATCTGGTTGTTTTGCTGGATGTTTTCCTCTAAGCATGCTCACATTTTTTCTTTGTTTATTAGTACACTGTATCCAATAACTCTGTATGGCAATACCTCTGGTTTTGGATTTTGTTGCCTGACAGACACCAGTGTTAAATGGCATGTTGCTCACATCTCTGTAGATCTTCCTTTAAGGCGGGCGTACACGGTGCGATTTTTGCTGTCGTACGAGCTCACAGGCGATTTTTTTCTCTCGGGAGAAAATCGCAGATGCTCGCATGGTCGCGGCTCGTACCGTGTGAGAAGAATTACGGGCCGATCCGAGACGTTACGAGCACCTCCCGTCCTCCCGATAATTTTCAAACATGTCAAAAAAAATCTGATGCTGTCGGTTTAAATTCGTGGCATATGTGCGGTTGAACGAGACGATTTGGCGATCCATCTGAAGTTGACCAATCAGAAGATGACAAAAACCATATAGTCTATAATAATTTTAGTTTAATTATACAGTTCTATTTTTTATTTGTTATTCCGAATGTGCCAAATTTGCCGTTCAGCTTTATGAATGAATAGGCTATGCCTGTTGTATTTCCGGCAAAACGAGCAGAAATTCAGAAATGGCCAACTCCCTCAAGTTCTTTATGAAGAACAGAAAGTCCATGCTTTTCTCTGCTTTTCAGCCATTCTCTTTGCCATGGCCTTTGTCTTCGTTGTCTGCCACAAAGAAAACTATTTCGTCCTCAGAATCCATATTTTTATGAATGGCGCGAAACGTAATGCTTACGTCAGAATTTGTAAAATCGTAGTAAATTTGTGTCGTGTGAAAAAAATCGGATGCTGTCGGTTTAAATTCGTGGCATATGTGCGGTTGAACGAGACGATTTGGCGATCCATCTGAAGCTGACCAATCAGAAGATGACAAAAACCATATCAACAATAATTTTAGTTTAATTATACAGTTCTATTTTTTATTTGTTATTCCAAATGTGCCAAATTTGCCGTTCAGCTTTATGAATGAATATGCCTGTTGTAATTTACGGCAAAACGAGCAGAAATTCAGAAATGGCCTAGGCTACTCCCTTCTTTATGAAGAACAGAAAGTCCATGCTTTTCTCTGCTTTTCGGCCATTCTCTTTGCCATGTCCTTTGTCTTC